CAAGCCCTACATTTAACCTGGAATGCAAGCTGCCTTTCAGAAAGCTAGCATGTACATACAAAGTAATGCTTGCCATGTCTCCCCAAAGACTTTCTTAAATAAAGTTTGGAGATTTACAACAGAATTAGAAACAGTAGGGGGCATCAACAGCTAGCCCCAAACAGAATTTTATCTATAAAAACTCTGATGAAGAACTTCATAGTAATATAAATGAGAAGTCATTCTGAACTATGTAACAGCTCAGCTTTCTATGAAGAGGTTAAATTTTACAGTGTTTCTTTTCACATGACCTGTATATTATCAAGTTTGTATTTTAGAGCTGGAGGCACTATTTACAATGTATAATTCATAATAGGAAGGCAATAATAGAAGAAAGGTGCTTTCTTAAAGTTTCACTTTAGTCAGTAATTATAAACATCCTTGGGGAATCCAAATTTTACCATTTACCCAGGAAATAACAAATGAAAAAAAGAGTTTATCTAGAAGAGCTCCAAGGTAATACACAAACCTTTACATTATCCTTTTGAAATGCTAAGGCTATTTTAAATCACACCAGAAACTCAAAAGAAACAATCCAAAAGCACTAACCCCAAACTAAATGTGAAGTCTTCAGGGTTAGATGTTTTCTAAAAGAAACATACTCTACACCAAATAGAAATAGATAAAACCCGATTATGTATTCAATCAATCCAAGGATGTTGGTGGCACCCAAGGACCACAGTTAATTTACATGAACAATGACATTTTTAAAAGACTGATCACAGTTGTTTGAACTGCCTCCTTGGCTTGTTGCTTGAACTGCCAGCAACAAAAACCTTCAACTTTGTCCTTTGGCTATGGGTAATGGATAGAGAACTCCTCTTGGGGAAGAGAAAGAATTGGCCCGAAGGCTCTGCTATTATATTGCCTTTGCCATCAACAAAGCATAATCCTATTAAATGAAGAGAGTGAGCATTCCTGAAGTTGTTTGTTTTTTTAATATATATGAAGAAGGGATTACATTTTATTATTTCATGCAGAACAGGATTCAAGAACAGTCCTCATTCAAGTTAGCTAAAATATTTGGTATTATATAAACACTTGAAAACAAATTTAGTATTAAATTCTCTAACAGGAATACACCATAGCCCTGGGGTGGGGGTGGAGGGATGTTATGGCCACTCATCCCTTTAAGTTTATTTATCATTGAAGTCCCTAAACCGCCTCCTAACAGAAAAAGGAACTGAAGTTGTGGATGGAAGCAAAGTTGATTTTAGCAACCATAAAGGGAACAAAAGGTCTTATCGAAATGAAAGCAGATGTGAAAGGAACTTTACATTGCTGTTTCTTGAGGCCCTTGTAAACTAAAACAACAAACAAATTGTCCTGTGAAAAATACATGCCTAATCATTTCATTGAAAAGCCCTCATGGCACTGTCAGGTAAACATTGTACAGCAGTTCAAATCTACCAGCAGACGTGAGGGAACAAGATGAGACTACTGGGATCTGATCCCGAAACTGTTTGGTCTCAGAAACTCTATACAGGGTCAAAAAAATCGGATTAGAGTCGATGGCTGTGGGCTTGGGTGTAGGAACCATTTCATCTAATTTAAAATGATAAAATATGTAATATTGAAATATTAGTCTTCTTTACTTAAGTTCTTATAAGCAATTCAAAATACATTTTCCTGAGATTATTCATTCACTGATGCAAACACAACACAAAACCAATATTTCAATCTATGTACAAGATATTATGATATATGTTGGAGTTTGGGAATGTGAAGGGGGGAAAAAAGCAAAAATCTAAAGAGAATAGTGGATGTGAGAAAAGAGGATTTTACAAAATTAACATAAGGTATGTTGAGTATGTAATATTTCAATGAGTAGCATAAGAAAGAAAACCAGAAACTTCACTGCCATTGAGTTGCTATCAGCTCATGGTCACACTATAGGACATGGAAGAACTGCCCCCTTTCAGTTTCTGAGGCTGGAACTCATTATGAGAGTAAAAAGCTCTGTCTTTCTCCTGCAGAGTGGCTGATGGGTTCAAACCGCTAACCTTGTGGTTAGCTGTCCACCACATAACCTCTGCAAACTCAGGCTTCAGTGGAAGCTGCTTAGGTGTTCTATAGTGGGTGATGGACGGGGCATTCCAGTTGTAGTAATCAGCAGAGCCAAAGGAGGCAGCAGTGGTTGTAGCTGAAGTACAAGTAATAAAGTTCTGCTTTCTGCACCCAAGCTGTAGATCTAGGCTCATGATTTTATTTGTAATACAAGGCAAATATTCTGTTTACATATCCATATCCTCTGTAGGTAAAGAGAAATTCTAGCTTATACCTGCACATACAGGGGTAGCCCGCCAAAATGGATTTTTTTTATCAAAGCTATGTATTTAATTTTTAAAAAATAAAACAACCTTATCACCTTCAAAGTACTCTCCATTACACTTAATACATTTGTCAAATCTGCAATTCCATTCTTAAAACTATTTTTAAACCCATTTGTTTGGATGGCTGACAGCACCTCCCTTGTTTTTTCCCCTTCACCTCTCCTTTGTCGTCAACTCGCTGTCCTGTCATGTCTCTGTATTTGCGAAACAAAAATAAGTTGCACAGTGAGGTCAGGTGAGTAAGGTGCATGGGGAACTGGCACACTGACAGGGCTGCGTGAGCAGGTAAATTGTCATAGTGGCAAAACCAGTCCCCCATCTGCCACAAAGCAGGCCTTTTTTGTTACACAGTCATGCAATCTTTTCAGAACCTCTAAATAGAAAGCTTGATAACAGTCTGATCGGATGGAACAAACTCCAAATGCACTATCCCCCTCACAGCAAAAGAGAAATGAGCATCATCTCGCAACAGTTTCTGCAGCATATTTCTCGAGCAGGAAACAAAATTTCACAGCTGCACCTATTCTCTTAAACAGGGCATCACAAAAAACAAGGTTTGAGCAAAACTACTTTCATTAAAAAATTCACTGTGATTGAAGACAACCTTCCCAGGCGATGCCACTGGATGCACTAACTCAGAGAGAGTTGTTCTATGCTTGCCTAGTGGGAAAAATGCATACTATGAAAACTCCACCCAGCAGAGGTTTTTTCTGATGTGGTGGTGGTGTTACGCCCAGTATATCAATTCCAGGAACAGTACCATTATGCAGCAAGTGCAGGGTAGTTCCAGGCAATCATAGAACAAGTTTGATTCTTACAAAGTGGCAGGCCATACCTTCCAATGTTCGTGTGGGGAAAAAAGTTGGTAATTGTTGATCAGCCAAATAAATTAAAAGATTGACTATTCATTTATTAAACAAGAAAGTATAATGTAGTGCTTACACATTATGCAAAATTGTTTAACTCCCAGTGTCGCCATTTACTTGTATGAAACTAGGCAAGCTCTAACCTTTTTAGAAGTTTCCATATTTGCAAAATAGATGTAATCTATCTGTGCCTTAAGTTGGCTGAAGTAATATCCTTAGAACAGTGCCTTGAGTGTAATAAATGTTCATCATTATTGTTGCTGCAACAAATATGTACTGAAGCCCAAGAACTAATTTAATGCTGGGGATGTTGATTATTAAGACACACAATTCCTACTCTTACAGACTGCTTTCTAGTGGGCAAAAATAATTGCCAAGCTATATTTTATTTGCTTTCCAGAAGATTTTAGATGATTTCTCAGATGAGTTACACTTTAATGAATTAACGGATGCAAGTTACATGGATTTAGTCTAGTACAAAAAATGCAACATATACAAATATGCTCACAAATATTGTTCATAAATTGGTGTGGTAAACGGAGGGACTGGATGAGAATGTCATACACCTAAATAAATAATCCGTGCTCATCACGATGGGTCTGGAAAGCTAACTCTGATGCGGGAAGACTCTCAAAGTGATGAGATATAAATAAACTTTAATATACATTCTCATGAATGGACACAGTCCCTCTAATACCCATAAAGGAACTGTCATAAAGGAGCCACCATATAAGATGAATCATTTCTGTGTCTGACTACTTTATAATGCCTAAAGGTTTTCTGTAGATAAAAGCAATCAGGTTCCACAGCCAACCACCATAAACGTAGCAGCCCCCTAGAGAGGGCTCAGGGGGCTTGAGGTCAGTGAGCACTAGGTCAAGACAC